ACTGTCATTGTTGTTGCGTTGGCACCATGCTTGTTTTCAAGCCGGTGGTAAATATATACATACGTAAATAACAAGTTCAGCGATCTGAGTCTTCCCCGTGGTTCACACAACCTCGAACAAGGCGAAATGAATTTATTGCAAAATAGGCTCGTTTATTATCATACAATTAGATGAACCGGTGACAAAAATAAGAATACCGTATGTACAGTTAAAGCGGACCAAAATACCAAACGATCGACGTAACAGCGCTGAATAGGAAGGAGTGGGATGGGAAGGACGAGGCCCTGTAGAGATAGATGACGAATCAATTAAGCCAATACAAGAAAAAAAGAAACAAACATGAACCCCAAAAATCTGTCCAATAGACGACGGTGGTGTTTGTGTGTATGTGCATGGAACAACGGGATGTATCGAGGGAAAGAATACAAGTGGCGGTCAGCGATTATAAACAATAACAGAATATGCGCGAGGGAGTAACGCAGACCCAGCTAGCTGACCGCGAACTCTGGCACCGAACACGGGCAAGCAGGGAGTGGACATGTTGGGAAGCTGGAAAATGAAATGCACGAGATTTGTCCACGCGAGCCGGTTCACGTGTAGCCTCATTCGTCTCAGATAAAAAGATCTCTGTTTGTGGGGGCAATACGAATGTGAGCTTAGAGCATTTCGTCGCCTTTGACGCGTTTACTCGGGGTCGGGTAGGCACTGTGGACAAGTAAAGGAAAAAGTATAATCGGTGTTACAGTGGATCCAGTAAAACCGGCAATTGTACACATTGTGTGGAGGGGATAAGCTTCAAGTCGTTATTTTGACCTACACGACACGCACTGGATCAAACAGTCGAGAAAATAAGATTATGATACCGTGTAAGAGTGAAGAAAATCGCTACACACCTTGGTGGGCGACTTGTTAGCATGGTATATTCAAATGCTAAATCAAACACGCTAAGGACGGGCTGTAAGAAAAGCGACCGAGGGTCCACGGTTGTATTAGATTTGTACTAAATCGGGGATGATTCTTCGAAAATGAATGATGATAGGGGGGAGAGAATGTCGAGTCGGCAGTGGATACGGGAATCACAAACAGCTTCGAGGATTCCACCTTGTAACCCGTGGGCGGACAACGGACAATCGATAAAATGCTCACAATCAACGGTTTTCGAAAACAATGAAGCTTACAAAAACCGTAAAATTCCCGTTTTCTAAACCTGGAGCAGTACGGCCAATCAAGCAGTGTAGGTGGTAAAAAATCATGTAGTTACCAGTAATAGACATCAAGTTTTCCAAGTTCAATACATTAACTAGTGACGTTCAACAGGTGTTATAAACGTGCATGAGCCAGATTTAACACTTAACCGTAGGCCACGCTTGATATAAAGAAATAATCGATTTCAACTCAGCTGACCGGCTAAAATCACGTTCAATTTCATTGATAAAATCGAACAACGAAATCAGGGCGGAGAGCACAGTTACGTTTTCGGCGAAGTGACTCCAACGGGGGAAAAACGAAGTAGACTAATCTAGGAAACCAAAATTTGCCATTCGCTCTTAACGTTAGCACAATCTGCTGACGGTAATACGGTAATCAGACACAGCTCGACAGTAGTTCACGAAACCGAGACACTGATGGACGTCACAATTTTTTGTTGGGAAAAAATTAATTGGTCGTCCACTGAGATAGGAGAGTAGGTGCTGCTTGCTACTACGTTTTACGGCAAAGAAATACACACGCAATCATTGACTTACCCTTCCTGTGAGCCTCCCAAACTAGGTAAACGTTTCAACTGAGCTGTAGCGGTCGGAGCTGGCGTGGGACCAGAACTAACTGGTGAGGTGGCCACATCTTGTAACCATCGAACTTGTGTTGCGGGCCCGTAGCCTTTTTCATTCCGGGCGGCTATTCGGAAGATGACAGCCGGTTTCGAGCTTAGATCCAAATGCGCATTAGCTAGTGTGGATGCGCTCACTGTGGCAGCTGGTGCTTGTCCACAGTAGACGCGAACGAAGGCCATACCGGCGGGAGTGGAAGTAATCTGTAAATCATGGAGAACGGATTAAAGTTTTGGTAGCGAAATATAAGCACGATTGGAGAATTTATTTGATAAGCACTTCTAGTGCAATATAACTTGATGCCAACAATCATAAAGTTCTCTTATATACCGTGATAAACCAGACAAAAAGGAGATAGACTCTATAATCAAGAGGCCTCATCGGTGACTCATAGCAATACATCTATTGTTTTGGTCTACGAACCATCAAACAGTGGTTATCACCCTTGACAGCTGCGCGTGGTATCGTCACTAAGAACCTGTGGAGCACTGTCAGTGGTTGCGTGGAAAAGTAATGGATGCTGTATATCAATGAAGATAAGAATGAAGCGCATTTTACAGTCAAATATGTGCAACTACTGAAATCTGGGTGGATTATTCACCTGGAAACAAACAGACGCACACATAAAGTTCGAAAATGATTAGAAATTGCGGTAGTTAGCGTGGTCAGCCAATGGTAACGACCAGGATTGAACGCTTAAGAGTATACGCACCTTATTCTCGAGGGTTTCTTGTCCTGTCGGTTGAGACTTGACAGCCAAATAGACGGAATATTCGGTGATTTTTCCAGCGGTATTCTGCGGCGGTTCCCAAGTCAGATGTGCACCACTCTCCGATTTCGTTATTTTGATCGCACTTGGAGCACCGGGATAGCCGGGCAGACAGGTCTTGAATGCACTTATCTCGGACCATGGCCCACGTCCACATGCATTCAGACCGGCAACACGAAACTTGTAAGCAGTTCCCGGAGCAAGTTGAATCTTCGGTCCCTGAGTGGTCAGACCATTTGGACCGATTCCATTTGGGCCTTGAAGAGCATCAATAGCCTGGATGAGATGTGGGAATATAGAGTGAACGTTGAAATAGTGCGATAAACAGAAGTAAATATTTTACAAAAAACACGAAATTTAGTTTCTTTCTGGTCACTTGTGGACATACAAAACGTGGAGAGAAACAGGCGAGTTTATCCAGATTGTGCTCCATCTGTAGTGTTGAAGTCGACAAATTAACCAAATCTACTTTCAAAAGCAAGAGCAACGCCGACTAAACAACTGCGATAGGAGACCGATGCTCGAGCGCTTTGTCCAACAAAAATCAACAACACCGAGATGTACAAATGACACCTACAAGCAGGTCATTGGACTGCCATCTTACCCTACTCATTGAATAATAGGGATATGAAACTACTGTGCTAACCAGAATTGTTCTATAACTTATTTCGAGCTGAAAAGGACGTTGAAACGTTTAGGAGTACGAGAAAAAACTGATGGCAAAGACTGAGAACCATACATCGGCACACATCTCTTTAACCGCCAGGAACAGTTGCCCACAGCTTCCAAAGTGAGACGAGTTGCTGCACATGAACAATCCACAGTTTAGATTTATTCAAACTCGTGAACTATACTCCCACCTGTCAGTTGACCATATAAACAGAACCAACCGTTCAGTATCTGCATCATTCAAGTTCGT